CAGGAGATAGCGTTCGTAAGTATATATACGAATACACACTGCATTTCAAAAACCACGTTTCCAAATTCAGATAAGCTAAGGACGTAAATCCGCGACAATCTCAAGATCAAATTCTTAACTTATACTTTAATGAACGGCTACACTTCCAAACCATTTTAATAACAATATTTCAACGGAAAAAAACCTCACGTGTTTAATTAATAGCTACGAAGATAAGAGTATGATAAAATAGGAGTTCATAATCATTAAGAAGTTGGAAATTTTTTACAAAAGCATATATTCCATACACGTAGAAATACGAGTACACATTCGATAGTTCACATATATTTTACCCTAAATTTATACGTGCATTTTATTCCTATTTTTTATTTTAATAGTTTACCACTTTCATATTTATAATTATATTTACATTTTAAGTTTCAATATTTGTTCATTCAATTATTACCCAACTGATTAATCGATCAAATATGAATGTATGAGCAAGAAACCCATGTTCAACAGGATACATAAGTATTGCAACACTGAGGATTATCTAAAAGTAGGGTCGAAACGTGTAGTAGCTTAAAGAAAACACGTTAAATACTAGATCATTTTGATGAGTGCCTTCAATAGAATTTATACTTAACAATATGCCTACATGTTCTGTAATAACAATGATCCATAATAACCAGAATCTCAAATGTAAATGCTCTGCTAAACAGGATGGGAGGGGTGTCCACTAGGTTTAATTAAGCACCACACCATGAGGAACTATGGGCCAGTGGAGGTGTAACTCCACGTATACTTAACCTCTCCAGTAGATGGAGGTGGATTGTCTGCTTCATTATGCAGCCGCTTAACTCGCGCTTAAGTTTACTTTCCTTATTCTGAAAAAATAAGCAAGGCTTACGAGATCACCTTGCTCTCTGCGTGTCCGTATCAATTTCTGAACGCCTGAACCAATCTTTATAAACCTTGGCATGTATATCATGGCGCCCGAACCCATCTCAGTGACGTACTTCATCAATCCCGCCTATCAGTTTTTGTCTGTATATGTATCCCCTATCTTTGCTAGGCAACGGCTCGGTAGAGACGTTCCTGCAACAATATGAGAATGGCTGGAAGCATCGTTTTTTATATGATCCGTGTCTCATCAAAGGAAATCATGTGATTAATTCTTCCCAGAATTTCTTGTTTAATATGTTACTTAACGACGATTTCAGTCGAGAATATACGTATACAGTCGGATGGTGAGGTGAGTGACGAATGGCGAATTGGAAAGGCTTTGTAAGCAAGCGTTCTTGACCTAAACGAAGTAAAACCCAGACATTTACCTGGAGGGATTGCGGAGAATTACAAATAACCTCAGTTAGAATAGCAGGTGACTCAGCCGATATTCGAACCGAGCACTTCCCTTATAGAAGTCCAAGGCATTACTTCTAGACCTGTATGTCCGGTCCTGGGGAAGAAGCATTAAACAGATGGACAGATGCCGCAGATAATATAGCGATGCTGAGAAGAGAAATTTTTGGCCTTACCAGGTATCGAAACACGATTCAATGGAAATTCAGTCTGTATCTGCGCTGCCTCAGATCCCCAGTGTTTTTCTATAGACTAAAATTATGAGACAAAGAATACTGCAATAAATTCCATTACAAATGCTTAACATGAGAACACAGAGTACCTGAAGATGGTTCGTTATTGCGTTGTAGAAAGCAGGAATTACGTCAGGCGGAGATAACGTACATTTTAAGTCAGACATTTAAACTCGGCCAGTTATAAAAACGGATATCAATTTACAAACAAGGGAACATACCCGAAAACTTCCCAAAGCGCTGTGGAATTAGAATGGGTTGAAGCAACACTTTACTAGAAATCAGCGTTAGCTCCTACAGAAGTCTAACATCTGACAAATCACCCTGTACGGGGCAATAATTTCAACCTATGGCTTCTGTGCAAGGGAAACAACATCTCTCTCCGCGAATGGCACGGCGCTACTTCATAAAGAAATTCGTATCCACTTCCCTCCTACGCCCAGAAATTCTGCGATGCATTGCATAATTAATTCGACAATACCTCTACTCTTGAGAGGGGTTTCCTTTGTCCTGCTTATATTATATAGACAATGGCTATTTATCTACTTAACAGGGTTTATATACCCGTGAATTGTGCACTAATATAGAGGCAGTCCCCTTGGTTACTGTTTCCTGCAGAACAGCGTCTTCAGAGATAGAGGGTGCTAAGTTACGTTGTCTGCGGTTCTACGTATATACGAAGGCTATTTGTGCGAAGGTTTTCTTTATTGCTTGTGGCGTGGGACTAAGTCCCTTGTACTGCGGCCACTTCTGGCCTATTGTACCAGCCCCAGATGATATGTGAGGGTGATTGTGGAGCATTTGGTGGAAAGAAGATTGGCAGGGGGAAACCGAAGTACTCGGAGAAAACCTACCCCAGCGCAACTTTGTCCACCACAAATCCCACTTGACCAGACCCGGGATCGAACCCGGGCCGCCGCGTTGGGAAGTCAGCGACTAACCGCTTGAGCTATGGCGCGGCCCTGTGCGAAGGTTACTAATCCGAAACTTGCACCTATATGAAGCCAACTGAATCCAACCTACTGGACAATAACTTTTTCCCTAGACAAAGTGAACTCGCATTTATAGAAAGACGGGAGAAGAAGAAGAATTTAAATACAAATATGGCTGGAGAATTATGAGGGAGGAAGAACGAGAGGGTGAGGACGGCAAAGAGAGAATGGAGAAAGGAACATATGAACATGGGGGAAGGGATGGTAAGGACACACAAGTGCCATAATTTAGGAAGAAGATGTGGAGGAACAGAGACAATTCTAAACCGGCCTTGTCATGACACGAAGAGTTATTATTTGGGTCCCTAAATCAGAAGTGATTTTCTTTAAAACCATAATTACTAAACAGTCATTAGCTCGTTCGTTTTACTAAAATACACGTGGACTCTGTACCCCTCAGTTTGCACCATGGCTCTACAGCAGGGGAATTCGGATTAGGGATTCTTGCGATAAATTTGTGCACCCGACTATCAAGAAATTGGGTGGATTGGGACAGGAGAAATTAGAAATAAAAGAATGTCCCTAGGGACGATCTGACAGTCCTCTAGCGTTAAAATAGACATGCGTGAGCTGATGAAATAAGAGGTATTAGTTGCCGCAATAACGGTGACAACTTTAAAACTGTGATGAACGGTAAAGTTATTCCTGTGCTTAATTAAATAATAACAACTCCATAGAGACATGGGGGGAATAGAGGTACAGCTCCACCATTCTTGACCTCGGCACCAGATGAACGTCAGTGATCAGCTTCAAGTCCCTGTCGATTTATCTCCGTGGAAATATCCTCTCGTACCCACTGTACAGGAAGTTGGGTGAACTCCAGAGCCGGTGTTGGGAGCTGTGGAGTAGAGATAAGTCTTTTGCCCCTGCCGTGAATTGAACCCCGGTCATCCAGGCCGTACCCCATCACTATACGGACTAAGCTATCACGTCTCTAATGTGCATGCAAATTAACTTGAATATAACAAGGCAAATTACAAGTAATATAATGGTAGTTCACTGCACTGAGTGCCAGAGCCTCGCAATGAACTTGCTACCTCCAGAGCGAGCATGCACACCAAGAAGTCGCACCCGCTACTGAGACGCCTGCGGTTAAAATATAGAAGGCATCAAAATCTTCCTCGGCCACAAACGTGTAACAAGTAGCCAGAAGTTACAACCGCGGGTTTAATACACTAAGGTTAGAACCTTCTGTTACAGGGTAAGAATACTGCAGAATTATGGACAGTGCTCTTTTGCCTTGGCAAAATTCGACCAGCAATTTTTATTAACAGAGAAATTATATGTTCGCGTAAGGGGAGATGTACAGTTTGAGTGTCTTTGGAGGCGGACTACTACAAGATGCTTTCATAAACACAGAATATACTGTCAGATTGTAGTACGACAGATGAAACGATCTGGAAGGAAGCCCTGTGGTACTATTTTGGCAGTCGACTTGAAAAACTATGGAATATCATGAGAAACTCAGAATAGCCGATATTTCGGCCATTTTGAAGCGTCACTATCATTGGAAACTTATCAATCAGGTGACAAAAATTTTTATAAAATTCAAGGATTGGAACATGTGAAAACACATTTATCTTGTCCTGATCAAGCAGCAAATAAATCACCTCCCGTTCGAGACCCGACTGGAACAGCTTCAGTACTGTCAAGTGGCACCGCTTCTAACGGCAGGCAGTACAGTCCCACAGAATGAAATGAGATCCGAGTGTCTGGTCGTGCAAACTGTATCATGTAGGTTCAAAGCCAACGTCCCAAATCCATGCCCTTTGAAATCCATGCCCTTCATGAAATGGAGCATGAACTTCGCGCCCATAATGCACCAGCGGTCAATGCCTGATAGCATATGATCGACATTTTCTCCCCTCACCCTCCTCACGACCTGCCATCCAATGTGGCCATTTCAAACCGCCATTCGATTAAGACAACAAATCATTACTCAAACAAACCTGACAACTTGTTGGCAATAAAACATGCATGGGTTATAAGCGGGACCGCCTCTGTGGTCTAGTGGTCGGAGTTCTTGGCTACAGATCCGGGTTCGATTCCCGGCGCTACAGGATTTTCTGAGAAGTAGTAGGTCTGGAACGGGGTCCATTCAACCTCGTGATGATAATTGAGGAGCTACCTGAATGGAAAAGTAGCGGCTCCGGTCTAGAAAACCGAGATTAACGGTCGTGGAAATTCGATGCGCTGACCACGCGACACCCTCTATCCACTAGAGTTGGCACTAACTTCGCCGACAAGGGGCGGTCGCTCGGTCAGCATAGATCACTTGCGGACTAAAGCCATGGAGTTTGTTTGTTTTGTTTGGGTTATAAGCGGCACGATTCCTGATAATAATTTCTTCACTGTCTGCAAAAATATATAGACGAAACACCGTTAACACTGGAACATCAGGAAAATAAAGCACAATTAAGTTTGTGAGACTTACGTGTATTTTGGTGGCAAGAAATATTAATGTTCTTGATGTCTATCTTCAGAGAGGACGACTATCAGACTAAGGGCGGCACAATCCAGAAGACAGTACTCCATTCCGTTGGCTTCCTAACCAAAAAGGGAAAAATATAGAATTGGATAATTATACACATTAAGGTATTATATGAATGGTCTATCTCTTACACAATGAAAAGCTATTCTATATCTGAAATATCTCTGAGGGTGTCATCATGGGATAACAATTCATGTGTAGGGTGTCTGTAACTGTCGTTATAGTATAGCCTCCGCACCAACCACGCAGAAATCACAACCTGTATTTTTTAAACATGTTTACCTAACAATTGCATAGCAACGATCGCGGCAAGAACCCCATAGAAAGCTAGTCACATGAGAGCTATCTCACCAGTCCTTGGCGCGTTGACTGTTGCCCAGCAACGAGCTATAAACATTCCTCCTATTGGATAGACTTGAAAGGATTCTGACGATGGTGTATACTGTACTTCTTTTGGCTTGTTTTGGACTTCATCCATCGTCTGGTATGTAAAAGACAAAACGTCCAGTGATTGAGACTAGCTCTTTCTAATGGGCCCAACTGAGTAGGTTTATCCTCCCCTACCCACCTGAAGACGGACACAGATCCAGTCTCCGAAACGTCGTGGTCTTTTGTCTTTTACATACCAGACCATGGATGAAGTCAAGCCAAAAGAAGTACATTCGTCCTATTATTGAGTACGCTTAAGCGAAGAGATGTCTATCGCGCCGTTGCCTACCTATGCCTGTTATGTAATCATTGGTACGTTAGCAGATCATATTTTTAATATACAATGGGAACCAACATCATACCGGATATCTCGCAGAACACACAGCAATTTACTTCCGTAAGTGTCCTCATTGACGCTCCACACAGAATTCTGCATATCACTGCATACAGTGAATGCCATGCTACCTACAGCAGCCACCACACCATCTACCGGCGAAAGTGTGATATTACTGGTACAAACAAGACCATTATCGATCGCTGTCCCTTAGGCGTCCAGTCAACGAAACAGTGTTTCCCGGACAACAGAAACATAAGGATTATGTTATTAATCCCTAATAACTAAGAAACTGACAGTCACACAATTCATCAAAATATTCCCGCATTTTATGGAACCCAAAGGTTCATTATACTGTTCTCAATAGTCTGCCACTGGATCATTTCCTATGCCAGTTTTGTCCAGCCCTCACCTTTACACCCATTTTCTTTATGACTGTGAGTTTCGGAAACTAAATGGTTGTTCATTGCTCTGCTTACACCCCGGCCCTGAAAAGTAGATCAGTGCCTTCTTCAGGAACGACAGCAAGCTTCTGCTGGGTTATGGAGTGAAATGTCTCCGAATATTGCGTTCTAGTTGATTCTTTTTAATATTATCATCTTACCTACTCCTACATATAATATATTAGACGTATTATTGTATTTTTCTCTACTCCGTGACATTCTTTTTGATCTTTTCCTTGTTTTTCCTATCATCTTGTCCTTTCCTCATTATTCTTTTCCTTCACATTCTTCTTCCAATCCTTATTTTCTTTTATTCGTCATTCTCGTACCATGCTTCTTCTGACGCCTCCACATTCCTCCAGTAGAGGATTCAAACTTCTGAGTGTCAGAAGATGAAGAGAAATAAGTCTGGATCCGCGCAGTTGCAAGACCAGACTCTGAAGGGGCTGTAATAAAGCCAATCTTGGTATTGTTGGCCGTGGAGCTCCACCCAATTTAGCAACATTCTAGGAGTGTTCGGCGGGCGGACAGAAAACTGAGCAGTGCCGATTATTCGCAAACGCGAGGAATGTGATTTCGACGAAGAAGAGGCGTTACTAGTTCTTTCTTAGTTCTGTAAGATTTCTGTATCTTCTAGTATACAGGGTGTAAAAATATATATTAAAACGCTCCGTGGTAGATAAATGGGTTCAATTTGATCATATGATCATGTCCGGAAACGTTTTGTTTAGGCGCTAGGGCCTCTGAAATGTGAAAGAAGATATTTACCAAGGACGGCATTTTCAACTCCAGAAACAGCCATGTACGGGCTCAAGAAAATCCTATGGAGAGGCATATCCGAAGCCACGAACACCGCTTCGCCGTCAATGTGCGGGCATGGCTCATCGATGGACGTCTAATGGGCCCTTACCTCTTACCTCTACTGCTTACTGGTGACATTTATGCAAAACATCTCCAAGAGACCTTACCCGAGGTACTGTAAGTGGTGACTTTGGAAGTCCGTCGTGAAATGCGGTTCCAGTATGATGGCTACTCAGCACACTCCACTAATGGCGTCCGTGGGCATTTGGATGAAATTTTGGCAACAGATGAATTGGATGTGGAGGCCCAATAACCTGGTCCCCTCACTCCTCTGACTTGACTCCACTTGATTTCTTTCTCTGGGGTACATACAAATCCTACTGTATGAGACTCCAGTGGAGACATAACATGATCTTGTGGCAAGAATTGCAGTAGCAGCTGGAACCATCCTGGAAATGCCGGGAATCTTTCAGAGTTCAACATAACATAGCCAGGCGGAACATGCAATGAAGTCGGTGGCCGCCATTTTGAGCAACTTTTATAATATAAAGCAACATTCCCTAAAACTTATGCATCGTATCGGAAATTCTGTGGCCCTTAGTGCCAAAAGGATGCGTTTCCGGACATGGGTATTTATTTACATCCTATATAATATCTTATAGTCCGTTGAAAGTCAACCGAAATTTCCGAGAAATATATCGCTTCGATCTTCGTCAAGTACAGCCACAGCTTGCTACCTGCTTCAGGCTGGTTTTTTACTTGGCCTATTCTTAGACCCTGAAGATGGAGGAGGTATGCTCTTCCGAAACGTTGGTTGGCAGGAAACGTACAAGAAGGGCATTATATCCCAGAAAACAGAACTGTTTCTGAATTCTGTTTGCTGTTTCTATCTGCAATATTACTTGTAGGAGATGAAGCCAGATCGTATTAATCAGAATGTGATACGGTCAAAACAGAGGAGAACGGCATATTAAATGTGCTTTACAAATACATCTTTTCGGATTTTGCATTGCCCAACTTTCGATGCGTTAATTTATTGTAAAAATATTTCTTTCTCTTATTTTACTTTTCTTCTTACTTAGCGTTATTTATTTTCTGCCAAGAAAGAAAAACTAAAAATATGTTATCACAGATAAACTAATATGGAATGCAGAAGGACATTAGTTTTCACAGTATTAAATTAAACTTCCCAATAGCTCTTCATTTAACTCAGTACTATCAAGCAATCCAAAACCCCACCCGCCACATTCTCTAAACGTGCCAAAATTCGACAAATAATTTGTTTCGAAGGACCGCCCAACGTAATGATAACAATGGCAGCCACAGTACAGCAAATGGTAGCATAGTCCCTCCTTTTCTCATCAAGGTCTGCATCTATACTGTATATTAGCTTCCACCTCCTATGTAGTACGTCCTTCCATTGCGTTTAAATTAAATTTCGTGCGAAAAATATTGTAGGAAGTTTTTCACAGTCAAATCGAGATTGCTGCACTTCTGCCCGGAGCGCTATCACTAACTACAGTGCTACACATGGGTAAATTGCGTACACTGCTCTCGCAACTGCCGATCGCAATTTCAACCTCGATACACCTGCGTCAAATGTACTCCGGTAAACTGTGGGGGTGTGTGTCATGTAGACTGATAGGCTACGCGAGGGACACGGCGTTTTGTAATTTATATATCGATGACAGTGATCGAAATGTGATTATGAATTGTGAGTAGGTTAAGGGAAGGAGTAAAAATGTTTTATTTAATTCGACAAATAGAAGAAAATGATCAAAATTGAATTCATCAACTTTTAAAAATATAGGATTTCAGTATGCTGAAACAAATCCAACTACAGGCCTGTGGTAGACTCGTAGTAATTGGTGATTTCGGATGCCCTCTAATGCGAATGACAGATCAATTTAAAGCCGGAACAAGCCAAAATCTTTATTCTTTGTTGATTTTGTGTATGGTAATTAAGAATTTGATGACAGGACGTCGTTGCCTGTTTGAAGGAATGTCTTCTCAACCAGGACAGGCAGTAAAAAGGCAGATTTTCGAACCAGATACCTTCGGAATATAATTTTACAGTTTTGTCACTATGCTAGTCTGCTGCTCTGGTATGTCCGATTCAAAATTAATTCTGAAAGAAATGAATCCCTTAAATATTTGACAAGAATGTCTGGGTGGGCGATCAGCTCTGCCTCTACCTACAGAGTACAACATAAGACAGAAAGCATAGGGCAACATCAATCCAACAAGTGAACAATGCAAGTTTTCGAAAAGTACAAGACTACACGCTACAAGCCTCGCAATCGCTCTCACGCAGGCCTGAGCAACCCGTCATGTTATGCGAGCAACTTCGACAAATTTGGTCCGTACATGGCCAACTCGAATTTTAACGCATAAAATATTGAATGTGCAAGTACATATACACTGTTACGTATATAATTTCAACTTCGTATTTTACTGTGTCTTAAAAATGTAACGGGCCGTGAAGCCCATAGGGTTGTGAGACGTCAAGGCTCCTGTATTTTCTCTAGACAATCGGCTTACAGACGGCGATGAGGTTGTAAGTCTTACGCGCCGTCCAACCTTTATCCCCCACGAAGATTTCTGGTACTCATTTCTGCTAGAGGTTGAGTCGACCCCAGGGTCACAGTGCAGCTGGATGGATTAGGTCAATTGAATAATGCAATGACTTAATCAGGAATCGAACCCGCAACCTTCCGGCTTGTAGCATAGTGCCTCAACCAGCTACTTTGCCACAAGCCCCATTATTATTTATATACAACAAAAATATATTGAGAGAAATATGAAAAATGTATAAAAAATAATTTTACAACATAGGCTATATATATCTATGAGGTTATTACCTCACTTTGTCGATGGTATTCTTGTAAATGATGTGGATTTATGTAATGAAGCTTTCTTGGGTCATCAAACATATCAACAAGGAATAACACTCCACTGTTTCACATACACAGTTTCTGAAACATCAAAATTCTATTCTAAGAAGACTTAATTGCATTCTGTCACTGTTAAATACTGGTACTTACTGTTTTATAAAGTGAATTCACGTCAGAAGAAAAGTAAATAAAATTATCACCATTGTTAGTCTGTTTTCTTCATTTTATATTATCATTATTCCTGCACAACACAAAATAACCATTTAAAGACCATCTGAAGTCAATAATTATGCACAATGCAGTATTTGTGTTTTGTTGGTATCACTGCTGTTTTGCGCAGCATTGCTATGCATGGTTTCCATCTTATTATTTCTGTGCAGGTTTGATGTTGCTGGTCGGTTCCATCATTGCGCTCCGCTTTCTGTTTGCACCAAAGAAGAGCAACATTCAGTGATCGACTTTTCGTTGTCAGAAGATGTATCAGGGCCCATAATCCATCAAGCACTTTCAGCACAATATGGGAACAGTGTTTAGCCGCAACAGGGTGTCTGTAAATGGCTTTAGACGTTCAAAAATGGTCTCACAAGTGTTAAGCATGAAGAAGGAACCGGATGCCCCTACATGGCTGCAAATGAGGACAACATTAAGCATGCACATGACATGATTCTATTAGACAGATAAGTGACTACTGATGACATGGCAAATTGTCTGCAAATTAGTCATAGTTCTGCCTATGAAATCATCCACAACAGACTTGGGTTTCATAAGTCTGTGCAAGATGGGACCCAAAAACAACTTACAATGTTGCATAAACAAACACACATGGACATGTGCCAACAAAATTTGGATCGCTGTGGTAATGATTCTTAGACAGAAACTCAGAAAATCTATGTTTTGTATTATCTAACAAACATGGTACAACAACAAACTTACAGCATCACTTGGGCAAGAGAAAAGTTGGGCATGATCTGCTGGTCTCATACCATTTGTGATCTACCTCATTGTCTCAAGTCTACATATTAAACTACACTTTATTCAGTAAGTATGTGTTCTTTATTTTTCTGGTATTAATTACAATATTGATTGTGTAAT